CGTGGATCCTGTGCCTCTCCTGTCTTCCTCCAGACTCTGGGACCTCGATTTCCAAAGGAAATGCAAAATTTGCTTTTGTCAGAAAACATGACTTTGGACCACTCAGCAGCAGTCCAGCTCTTTTTTTCCTTAGCCCAGGTGAGACGCTTTTCGCGCTGTTTCTTGGTCAACAGTGGCTTGACACGAGGTGTGCGGCAGTTGAAACCCATGTCTTTCAAGCGTCTCTTGGTGGTGGATCTTGAAGCACTGACTCCAGCAGCTGTCCACTCCTTGTGAATCTCCCCCAGTTTTTTTTCACAATCTTGACTAGGGCGCGGTGATCCCTATCGCTTGTACACTTTTTCTGACCACAGTTTTTCCTTTCCTTTGCCTCTAAATTAATGTGTTTGGACACAGAGCTCTGAGAACAGCCAGCCTCTTCAGCAATAACCTTTTGTGTCTTTCCCTCCTTGTGCAATGTGTCGATGGTCGCCCTTTGGACAGCTGTCAAATCTGAAGTCTTCCCCATGTTTGTGTAGGCTTCAGAACTGGACTGAGAGACCATTTAAAGCCCTTTGCAGGGGTTTTGAGTTAATCAGCTGATTAGTTTGTGGCACCAGGTGTCTTAAAAATTTAACCCTTACACAATATTCTAATTTTGTGACACACGGAAATTTGGATTATCATTTGTTGCCACTTCAAATCATCAAAATTAAATGAAATAAACATTTGAATGCATCAGTCTGTGTGCAATGAATAAATATAATGTACAAGTTACACCTTTTGAATGCAACTATTGAAATAAATCAAGTTTTTCAAAATATTCTAATTTACTGGCTTTTACCTGTGTATATATATATATATATATATATATATATATATAAGAACGCTTATTCTAGACATTAAGGTTCAATGATCAGCAGAAACTAAATAGATTGACATTTTATCAGGTTAACTCTTGGTAGCTCTTGATGAACAAGCAAGTCTTAAAAACTGTGAACCGCTTCATATAAAGAGAACACAGGAAAATTTGTTTTGGCCGCGATTCATATCAACTGATAGGATATGCTTCCTGAATGTCGTGTTCTTTCTGCTTCCACTGATCGTCAGCAGTTTGCAGTTGACTGACCCTCTTCTATTCTGTGACGTCAACAATCCTGTCTGAGTTCCATTTGATTTTTCTGGCAAAAAAAAAAAAAAAAAAAAAGTAGGAACCTGTCAGCAAATTTTATCTCCTCTGACAAAACAGGAAGGAATCGGTCAGCAGAACTACATTTTTCACTACAAGTGAAGAAACAAGCCCTGCATTGTCCTCATGTTTTGAAAGAACTACTCTAAAGAACAGCTGATAATCTTGCCAGATGAAAACCACCTGTGATTGGTAGCATCAAATCAAATAATTTATAGGTCAATAACATCCTTAACCAAGTTTGCCTTGTCCAATAGGTTCTTACCCTCACATTTTACCTTCACAAATTCAGAAAGTTATTGTAATACTATGTGTGATTTGAGTGGGTTTGTGTCTGCACTCAACCCTAAATGTATAATCTGATTTTGTTTGACTCAATTATACAAAGCTACTGAAAACATTAAGCTAAATAAATAAAAGAGAATGAAAAAGGGAGGTTTGAGTTTTTTTTGCGTTCAATAGTCTGGAAGAAGGACATTTTTATCACTATGGTTGTTCTTTAATATAACAATGTGTGGTTTGTATTTGTAAGGTTTTCTCTACTTTTACTTTCCTACTATTAATACAGAAACAATGTACTCATTCCATATGCATTTTATTATGTTGATTAGCCTAATATCAATATTCAACAAACTTTTCAGTAGACAGGCAGGTGTCTTTGTGATGTTACATGTGCAAACACTTGTTTCCTTCAGAAAGCAGCCAATTTCTGTCAAGATAAGCAAAAGATATCGACAGTGCAGAAATATGATTCATATTTGTTTTTATCAAACTTGTGCAAGATGGCAAAGCTTTTAACAACTTGGAAAAGTTAAGTTTAAGCTTGGAAACAAAGACGAAATGGAAAGAAAATATAAAAACTCATCTTCCTCTTATGCAATTTAACACCCAACACTGAATCGACAGCTGTTAACAATTCACTGTTGCTCTGGATTTGCCCATCTTAGTTTAAACATATACAGAAAATCTCTTAAAGCTTAATAATAAATATATGCATCAAAAGTATTAAATTTTATTGCTACAAATTTTTGTCAGACTAACACATTTCAATGTTTCGCCCCTGCATACTGGTTAACAGTCAATACTTCAGATCTAAGTTGGAATGACTATAGCATGTTCACTGTTTATTATGCGAAAATGTTTGAGATGAAGTCCCGAAATCGTTTGGCATACTGCTCAGGGTGGACTGTGGATATTTCAGCACCAGCCTGCGACAGAGACCGAGAGCAAAACAGGTCATCAGCATTATTTGGCTGCCCTGATTATTGCAGCAAAAAAGCAACAATCAAACTTACTCAGAATGCTATGATGAGTGGCTTAAGGAAAGGACTTCTCCTGTGTCTTTTATGTTACTTACCCCATGTTTGACAGTTTTTGCTGCATGAGCGGCCTTCTTCTTGGTGTCATATTGCGTAAGAACATCTATCAAGCCCATGAAGTACACCTCCCTCTGAGGGGCTCCTAAGAGGAAAAGGTAGGTGTTTTTTACCCATTCCCTTAATAAAAAAAAAGTACATAGCATAAATCCAAATAAAAATATATTTTTTAAAAGTGTAAAAAGCATTTTAATTAAAGTGGAAGTTACTGATTTACAAATTCCTTTCTAAGACTGAGGTGAGGTCAAGATTATGATAAAGATCATGTGAAAATTATATCAATATTTGTGTCATCAGAATATAAACAAGCCTTGGCGGTAGATTTATGATTGTTTTCCTAAACACTGAGCAGTTGCAACAATGGAAATTTGAAATCATCATAGAAGTAGTGTACTGATTTTGAAGTGAAAGTCTATGTTGGAATGACTATAGCATGTTCAGTCGGTAAAACTGCATGGATTTATGCATTTTGTTATGAGAATTTTAAGATTTATTCAATTTTCTATTTGAGAATTTTTGTAGATAGAACCAAGTATTCACCTGAGCAGCACTTCACTGCATACACATCCACGTAGGGATCAAACTCCCCAGAACCTAGAGCTTTGCAGGATGACATGTATCCGGCAATTCCTTCGGGAGAAGTGCCATAAGAGCCCACTGTAGAACACTGCGCCATGCCATTCTCAGACTCTGCTTCTTCTTCATTGGACACCTCCTCACCCTCCTCCTCCTCCCGCTCTGCACGGCCCACATCATGGATACCAAGCAGTAGGCTGTAGTCCATGATCTTCAATTTAACTAAAAACTGATGAAGATGTGAGAAGGATGTTTGCCTCTAGCAAATTCCCAAAAAATCTAATAAAAACTAGTGAATTTCTAGAACTACATATGTTCATACACTTCAAAAGTCAATGAATCAAGGTTCTGAAATGTTTCAAACTAAACGAAATGAGTTTACTGCTTCCACCCAGCTATAATTATTTGCTTTGATGTTCTAAGGCCAGCTTCACCTCAGGCATATTGGTTGTGTGGAATGTAAAGATTTAAATGTTGTGTATTTCCTAACAAATTACAGCATCACTGTGTGATGCACATCTAAGTAATGGTTCAAGCCATGTAGCATTAATTTGAACTTCAGCGTGAATGCACAGAGAAATAAAACATTTAGCTTACCATTTGTGATGATGATTGAGGATAGAGTACAAATGCTTTTTCAGTTGATTTTGTAAAGTAAATGCAACCATTACTAGAAACAGCTGTGTAACATTTGTGTTATCATTATGAGTCATCAAAACATGGATTACAATTTATTAATCATTACAAAATTCAGATTTGAATTGTTCTATCTGAACATAATCCATAGGACCATGACAGATATTCCAAGAAATTATTTTCAAATGATCAAAATTACTGCATTTCATTCTGCAGATTTTTATCTGCATTGCTGTCACCTAAATTTCACTGGGTTATTAGTAAAACAATTGAAATTAAGAATCTTGCAGCCAAAATGACTTGTCAGAAGGGGACATAAGCTACAACTATGCGGTTACAGTAATAAACCACATCAGAATTTACAACCCATAACCGTTACCTCCACATCTCTGTTGAGTTTCTCCATAAACTTCTCCTTCTGCTCCTCAGTTACATACACTTTCTGCATGTTGTTTCTGAAATCCATATCCTTAAAGGTAGGAAGCTCTTTTTCCTTTAGACAAGCAAGATATTAAACAATAAAACCAAGATGAGTAGCAAGAGAATAAAAAAAGACAGTAAAATAAAACAAAACACTTCTCACCCTTTCTTTGTCACTTGCTTCACGATCCACCAGAGAGCCCTTCAAAATTAGATGGATTTAAATAACTTGACTGACACGTTGAGAAATAGCGTGAAATAGCATGAAAGGAATATTTATGAAGTTAATTTTTTTATATGAAATTACAGAAAATGCCTCAGTTTTCACATGAATGTAAAAAAAAAACCTTTTGCGAAAAGAAATATCACACAACAAATAACACATTTTAATTACCAAAATTAGATTAAATTAGCTCTTATGCTGAAATGTACAAATCAAATCAAAACCAATCAATCAAAACCATGACATATTCAACTAACTAATGTCTAAGACATCTTTGTTATTTTGTCAGAGGAGCTCAAAATCAGATTGTGCAATTAAATGTTTGTAGATGCAATTACTACTTACCTTTAGATCGTACTTCCTGTGCACTACCAGTCTGTGGCTGAACATGTTTCTCATGACCATTAGATAGGCTTCCTCACTTTCCACGCTCACTCGATACATACCAAGAAACTGTGGCAACAGTGTGCTGCCATGACACTTTACTATGTGCTACAAGAAAGAAACAAATGTTAGTATCCACGGCAAGTACAAGTTAGGATGCATCAATCAGCTACATTTTGAAAGATAAAACAATGTCACATCATCTGATCTTATGAATATGAAATCTTCACGGATAAACTTCATAATAGCTCTTGGACACTCCATCGGTACTAAAATTACGCAAACATACTAACATGCATTGAAATGTCTCCCAACACAAGTTTCTTCCTTTTTTGTTTGTATACAAGAAAAAAAGCTGACAAGATCAGCCTTTCTCTCTGCAACTTTAAGGCTATTTTATCAATCTCAAAGTCAACTGGAAAGTTGAATATCAAATTTCAATAAGCTTCAGCAATTGCTCCTTGTTGTATCTTGCGATGTTAGCTGAAGTAGAGTCACGACAATCACACTATTAAATTGAGAGCTCAAGCAGTGCTGATCTTTGTTTATTAAGTAGTTCAGAATCATTTGTACAATCAGCTCTCATTGGCTCAAAAGCTGTCCGCAGTGCCAGCTTTCTGTATCAGTTTTTTTTTTTTTTTACTACACCTGCTGTGATTACAGGTGGCTGCAAGATAGGTTGCACTCTTCACAACCTCATAAAATATGACAAACCCCATTGAGAATCAATGCAATATTCTTTAGAGGAAAATGAAGGTCGGTCACCAGACCCAACAACAAGAACAACTGACAGCAAGCATCAAGGAAATCTGGGCTTCCATTACTCCCAGGCAATGCCACAGGCTGAACGCCTCAGGTGATAAAGGCAAATATATTACGAGTATTGAAGATTGCCATATCATTTTGAAAGTACCATATTTTGATTGCCTTTATGTGATCTTAATTTTTCTTTTTTGCAAAAACTGAGAAATGGCTATTTCTTCATAGTATTCAATTCTTTTTATTGACATTACTGTTAATTGTTTGATCAACAAAATGTTGAACTTTATGTACTCTTTCAGACACAGAAACACTATTCAGGCGTTACCTGGTGATATTCTGACAGAATGCTGTGCATATCTGCAACATCCTCACTGGAAATTTGCTTGATAAGCAATGTACGATCATAGGAGTTGAGGAGCAAACCCTCCCCTTGATCATCAATACTTCTCAATGGAGGGCTACGTGTCAATGAGACCTAGGCAAAAGACCAAAAGCTCAGTAAGTGTAAAATTAACCTCTGTCAGGCTGTAGAATAAAATTAAAAAAAGATTTTTCACTTCATAGAAAGTAAACTTACCTGGTAGTCCAGATCTTCAATACCAAACCGTTCCCTTAGATTTCGGAAAACTTGTGGGCAGTATTCTTTGAACTTAAAATGTCCTGGTAGGTTTTCCCTGCCAAAAAGGAAAATAGGTTACTCTTGTTTTTTTACAACTGCATACGGCATACACAGAGATACAAAAAACATATCACACATACATGGATATATAAATTCAAATTAGGGGGTGTGCTGTCCTATGCAGAATGCACCAAAATTAAGTGGAAACTAGAAAAGAAAAATGGAACCAAGAGAGATTCAACTGAGGAGGTAGAGCCTGGGGACCCTGGGTCAGGCTATCCAATCTCTGTGGCTGAGGTCACCAAGGTGGGTAAAAAGCTCCTAAGTGGCCGGATCCCTGGAGCAGGATGCCAGGGGTAGATTAAATTTGGCAGGAGTTCCTCAAAGCTCTAGATGTAAGCTTGTTAGCGGTTCCACTGGATTGACAAACCATAGTGGTGGTTCCGCTGTTCAAAAAAAGGGGACCATAACATCATCCCGAGTTGAATGACAAAGACCACAGTTAGCCACCAGCAGCAGACCAACAGACACTGCAATGCTTCACTGAACTATCTGCAAACTCAGAATGGTTAATAACACCTTCTTTAAAAGTAATAATGATGATTTTTTTTTTTTTTTTTTTAAACATCGCTTGCTTCATCGCTAAAGATGGCCTTTCAGTGTGGTGGAGAACGAGGTGTTCATCTGCATTTTGCAGACAGCGGAGCCCAGGTACGCCATATCAGTTTTCCATTGAGACAGCTGTGCCAAGAGACTTAAAGAAAGGTCACCAGTGCCTTAACCAAAACTACCAGAGTGGTACTAACATGTGATGCATGGACAGCAATAACAACCCAGTCTTTAGTGACACTCAACGCTCACTATATAACTGATATGTGGCTGCTTGAGTCCTGCGTTTTGCAAACTCGTATGATGTACAAAAGCCACACAGCTTTGAATGTCAATGCCATGTTTCATGTCATTGCTAATGAATGGGAGCTGACTGTAACTGACCTGGTAATTGTGACTGATAATGCTGCCAATATGCTCGCTGCGACATAGATTGACAACTTGGCACACATGTTTTGCCCACATGCTCAACTTGCTCAGCGATCTGTGGCGCTAACTACACTGTAGTGGGAGGATCAGGTGAATAATGGGTTTCTTTCACCGTATCACCATTGCAAATCACAAACTGCAGGAGAAACAGACAGTAATGGACAGTGGACAGTAATTTTGGACACAATTCATGTACAGTTCTATTGTAGCAGGACGATTTTCATGAAAGGTTTATTATTTAATCTTTATTTTCTTATGTTTACAAAAGGGCATTTTTATATGAGTTATTTAATCAATATGGAATATTGTATTTGCTATAGTTGCAATAATTCAATTTAAGCATGGATTAATGTTTCAAATTGAATACATGTGAGAAAGACAGTAGGATGTCTCCCATTTATCATTCTGTGTTGCAAAACAGACAATAGATTATAAGGATCCTTTACACACCTATAGATTGAAGCCAAGATCCTTATAAATCAAATGGTTCTGAATCCAAAATTGATTTTGAATTGGGGCCCCAAAAATTGGAATTGAATTGAGAGACAGTAAAAGATTCCCATCCCTAATATAAATATAGTACATTTAAGTTGTATTTCTATCTTACTTGTTGAACAGGTGATTGTTGACTTTGATCTTGGTATTGGCTTTGAAGTCATCCGGTAGCAACATGACTGGCACAGGCACCTGGTTGAGATCATTTATCTGTCATATGGGAAAAAAAAAAAAAATCATCAATTAGTCTTCCTTTTTTAAAGAGACATGTTACAAGTTTTTTAAGCTGGCTAATTAAATTAATCAGGATGGCTAATAGTGTTGCCTGAGTTTGGAGGTACTCTTGTAAGATGTTTCTGTCAAAAGGTATGATGTGGATTTAAAAAAAAGATCAAAAGATCATACCAAGTAATTCCCATCTCATGAGCATGTTTTTCCTTGTTTTTTTCCCCATGTTTCATATTTTATACTGGAACATAACAACACCTGTTCATTTGGTGCTTCCACACTTATGTATTCTTCAGTCAACTGCATCCATTCATTATCTGTACTGCTTACTCCTAATAGGGTTGCAGGGGAGAGCTGGAGCCTTTCCAAGCCAACATTGGGCGAGAGGCAGGCTACACCCTGGTCATTTTACTAGTCCATCAAGTGGAGAGAAACAACTACTAGGGTTGTCAAAAGTATTGATACTCAAAAAAGTATAGATACTAAAACCTTTCCGGATACGATACTCATTTTCAAAAGTATCGATACCCACCACCCCCGCGACGCTGGCGCAACCGACCGGCTTCCACCAGTGCCACCTAAACAGTCATTCATCTAGAGTGCAGAATAGAGGAAAATGCACTTTCTGGACACTATGTGATTGAATAATTCTGTGCACTTTTCAGTTTCTGACATTTTTTTGTAACAGGTGCAGCTGTTGAGAATACAGCATTTATTTTTGTTTGTTGACTGGTTTGGCTGGTGTCATTGTTATGTGTGTACAACACAGCCAAGAAAGCAACACTTAAGTTAATTTTTTTTTTTTTTTTTGTTTTGGCTGGTTTTTTTTTTTTTTTTTTAAAAAAAACCAAAAAAAGAAAACTTTAGTTTATTTTTTTTTTTTTTTTTAATCAAGCTTGCTTAATATTGTGCACAGCATACAACCTCAAAATACTGTTCTTATTGTTTATTGTATTTATTTATTTTTTTGTTTTTGATTTATCATTAAAAATATTTCTGTAAAATTGTGGGGTCTTTGTTTTTATCCTTGTGGTTTCGAAAATGGTGTCGAATATAGAATATCTTCCTGAGTATAGGTATCGAGTTGAAAATTTTAGTATTGTGAAAAAACTCTAACAACTACACACTCACTATTAGGGGGCAATTGAAAGTGTTCAATTACAATAGCATGCATGGTTTTGATGGAAGGAAGCCATATTATCAGGAGAGAATCCACACAGACATTAAGGACAACACTAAAAGGTCCCCGTCCCCCAGGGAGGTGACGATGCCAACCACCACATCACCTTGCCATCCCCCAGTCAATGGCAACCAAAGTCAAATACATGCCAAACAATTCAATGGGTGATGCTTAATTTAATTTTAAACAAATGCAAAAAAGGGACTTGGATCAGATATAGTTAACTATAGTTGCTATACTTCATGTTCAATCACTGACAATTATGGGAAGAACTCCAAAAATATTCTTACTGACTCGTAAATAAGCTTAGGAAGTCAATTTGAAATTCTACTAATTGAACTGGGTTAGATCAGGATTGTGACTGCATCTTTGCAGTGTTGTGAAATGACATTTTGTGATTTGATTCTTTATAGATAAAACATCCTTGAACAATACAATGGGAAATCATGTGATATATCATATAGTAAAATGCCATATAATTTGACATAGTGGGTGCCAAACTATGATGCATTTCAGGATGTGAAAACATACAAAGGCATTTTGAGGTAGGAGCTTCTAAGTCCTATGATATAAACACAGATGTATGTCACCACATAAAAGTGGCATAAAACAATGTTCTAAGGGGAATTTGTGAGCCAGTCTATATATTGTTCCATACATAATTAATTTGTGAATGGCTAACGAATTCGGAAAAATGTCCTTAAACCAAAAAAAGATTACAAAAGTGACAACCAAAAAAAATCATATTGGATTATGTTTTACCATTTCTAGAGTAAAAAAAATATGTTTGACTGTATGACTTGGGCAATGCTACGAATAAATAAAGACATTTAAATTAGGTCTTTACTTGGTTTTCCGGACTAATCTGAATGACAAAATAACTATAAAACCCGGGTCCGAATAAAGAGAAGTTAATTGCAGCAGAAGTGATACTAACCATGTCAGAATTCGGGCCAGGTGGAGGTAGCGAGATACTGAAAAAATGTAATGTAAATCAGGAAATAAAGAGGCATAAACGGTATGGCCCTGTCTGTAACAGCCCATTAAAGTACCAGGTAGGAGGTACACCTGTGGTTAGGTAAACATATGTAAACGTATCTTTGAAACTGCCCATCAAATGTCACTAAACCTGTCCCATATTTGAGTGTTATTCAAGGAAGTGTTATTTAATGTGGGAGCCTGCAAATTGCCTCTTACGTCGACACAAAGAGTACACCCAATATTACAACTACATTAGCAACGTTAGCTTCCAATAACTTACCGAGTGATTGACACCCCACATGAAGACGCTCAGGACAGGGTCACTGGCTCGAAACACTTTCACCTTCTGCTGCACGAAGTGTTTCTTTTTTGTCTTCGTTTTGGGCGCCAGGATTACCATAGGACTGGTTGCGGACCCCGAGTTACCGAGTGTAGCCATTGCCCTGTTCCCTCGTCCCCTCCCCGTGCCAAAACTACTGCGAGCAGTTACACTTCCTGTTCGACCAGGACAACAACTCCACAGTGTTGTTTCTCCAAACGTCCAATTAACAAATATGATGTTATTTGGTTGTTTGATGTTGTTTTCTAGCAAACAATTTAACTTTTAAGATAGCTAAAGTAATTACTTAAGAACTCTCCAATTTCTCCAACCTTTAACGGCGAGTCCATCGCAGCTCCCTCTAGCACATAATTGTCTATAAGTGTAGATGGTGGGTTCAAGATTGACGGAAGCCAGTGGCCAAAGAAAATTGGTCTTTATGTGTCAGGTGACACCAAATGAAGGCAGGATCCTCCTTTTTTTTCTATGATGCGTTGGATGTACCCAGGGCTGTTGGAATTTTCAATTCTACAAATTAGTTCATTCTTTTTTATAGATCTACACCAGAAAACAGAAAACACCCACATAAAGATACAAAACCCCATAAACTTCATAAAACAGATTAAATAGACAGTCAAGTCAGCTAAAGATACGCGAGAGAAGGAGAGAACGATTGGCTTGTTCTATATTCAACAGAAAATACAAAGACTCTGTGATGAAATGAGATTTTTACTAAAATTTTCAGGAAATTAATAATGGCAGCACTTCAAGGTCTTCTTTTGTCAAGCTTATCACTCAAAGCGTCTCTACATGCCCCACTGACCTATTTGTGCATTCGGACATATCAGCCCATAAGGTTTTTTACTATTGACTACGGTACATTTTCCTCTGGCATACACATTTATAACCTGAAGCATACATTAGTGGGTGAACAGGGTGCCAATGGGCACTTCAACTTGTGGCTCGAGTCAAACATCCAACTTTCCAGAATGGTGAAGTCTGCTCTTCCTGCATGAGCCAACCTAAGCGAGTACTCTATTTTGATTTTTCAAATGTCAAGGAACCTTAGATAATAAGTCATTTGTTAATAAAACTGGATGTTGAGGCCAGAGTGTGACAAATGTAGTTATGTATTATTTTCGTTATACTCTGCGGTGGACAAACTTTCTTTCTCAGTTTCTTTACATGTGTAAAAGTAAAGATGGAGTGAGACAGACAGACAGACAGACAGACAGACAGACAGACAGACAGACAGACAGACAGACAGACAGACAGACAGACAGACAGACAGACAGACAGACAGACAGA